CTTCAAAAAATTTTGCACCCTGATTTATATTGATCTGATATTTTTTTTTACATCTCAAAAACCTAGCATTTTAACAGGTGTTTAGAGTTCTTATATCCACTGTATACGCTGGCACAGGTCAGGCTGCACGGCCATTAAGAAAGTGCAGATATTCTCATCACAAGTTAATAAAGACATTAAAAAATTAAAAGGAAATTCTATATTTCAGCAGAGATCTTTTAAAAAAATATCTCAGAAATATATCCAATTATTGTTCCTAACTCAGATTATTCTTAGAATACTAATTCAGCCTAGTTCTAGTCCTATTCAATTTCCCATAGGCAGATAGTTAGAACTATAACAACCCAACAACAAGCAAGAAAGATCTTCTACTCTTTGTGTGTAATTGTTAATCTCCAGATTCATAGTACTTTCTTAGAAATTTACGAAAAAATCTTCCTCTCCTAACACATGATGGTACAGAAGAAAAATGTCTAATATATTCTGATCCATAAAATATAGAGACAACCAGTGGTTGGGATTTAGAATAAACTGTAGAAACCTTACAATGAATCTCATCTTAAGCTATTAGCTCTGTTAATCAAATCAGATTCCTTTGCATTGAACTTGACTTCTGATAATTTCATGGACATGTCTGTATAATTTCTTGGCAACAACATGAAATTGTTGCCACTGCCTTATTTCCATTAAAACAAGCAGTCTAGAAATTAACCTTAGTTAATTAGTTAACCCAGATGACACCCTCTTGCAAATATTAACCAGACTCACCCAACTTGTTTGGCTTCTACCGTCAGTGAAGCTCGGCCAAGTGCTTCCACCAACTGAGAACTAAAGACAGCTGTGGTGGCACAGTGGTTAGAATACAGTATTGCAGGCTAATTCTGCCAATTGCCAGCAGTTCGATTCTGCTTGGTTGACTCACTCTTTCACCCTTCCAAGGTCGATAAAGACCCAGATTGTTGAGGGCAATATGGTGATTCTGTAAACCACTTAGAGAGGTGTAAGCCACTATGAAGTCGTATTTAAGTCTAAGTACTATTGCTATTGCTAAAGAGGATTGCTCCATCCATAACTGAGAAGCCTTAGAGGATGTAAATGAGAAGAAATACTGCGAGAATCTGATTACATTGTCCTTGACTATTAGGCAATATGAAATAATATGATAAATTCTCACAATCGCTATTATCCTTTTTATTTTCAAGTTGTTCTGGCTTTCCTTTTCTGCCTCAAAAAAAATAACACCCTTTCCCCCCTTCACTCTTCCTTTTCAGTGCCAAAGAGCCAGAAATTCAACTAGAGTGCCTCAAGGATGTTTGTAATCTTCTTCCCAAGGACAACTACAACAATCTGAGGTGTGACATAGCTATAAATTTTTAGAATGTTCAAGGATCAATCCTTGAATGTTTGCATTTTTATGTGTTCGCTGCCTTAATTCAGAAAGTTGGCTTATTATAGGCTTACTTAAATGAAGATGTAAAACTTTTCTCCTCCTTGCCTTTCTGTGATAGGTCAAAATTCAATGGAAAAACATGGGAATCCTAAGAAAATCAAGGCACAGAGTTTTTTACAAATCACTCTCTCTTTGTAGGTATCTGATTCGTTTTTTAGCCAAGCTGGCTGAACAACAGGAAGTGAATAAAATGTCCCCAAGCAACATTGCTATAGTCCTAGGACCCAACCTACTGTGGCCACAGGAGAATGAAGGGTAAAGTATAGATGTGCCAGAAGACAATATATTGTGGGTTTTATATAGCATAATACTTATTCAGTAATGAAGTATTGAGAAATACCTCTCTTATTTCACACACACTCTCAATCTATGTAATATGTTGTACCAAAATGATATATGTTACTTTCTTCCAATCTTGGTACTGCCCATCAGGTGTATTAAACTATAATGCTCATTATTCCCCAGCCAATAGCATTATTGTTGGGAATTGTAAGACAGATCAACTGGGGACCCACAGGGTAGATAAAGAAAATCATCCAGATCAAATTCGTTTAAAACTGGGAAATATTTGCAAAGTGCATCCTTTTTCATCACTGCAACAATGTAATTAATTTTTCTGGTTTCAATGCAATTTAATTTTTCTGGTTTCAACATTCCTCATTCAAAGACCTTATTGAGAACTTTTTCTTTATTTGTAATGGAGAGAGGAAGGTCTTCATTTCTTTTTCAGCCATGCCAAACCAATCAAGTAAGTGGCTGGTAGTTTAAGTAGACACATAAACAGATCTCCTTTCCAACTTTCTTGCACCGGTTCAGCTATCCAAGAATTAGACATAAAGTTTTTAAAAAGCTTCAAAAATAACTTCATGAATAATTAGTTAAGCTATTAAATTATTCCTTGCCTAAAGTAATGATACTATCACTATATTCCTTATAGAATATGTCTGCGTATGTAACTATGGGTAATTTCTACCTTAATCAGGGGCAGTAATTGCCCTTAGTTGGCAGTCTTACGTAGCTAGTGAATACTGCTGGCTTTCTTCCAATCAGCTTCTACCTCTGTATGGAATATGTGTGACTCTATGTCACATCCTTCTCCGTCTTTGCTGATCTTCTTATTTGAACTCTTTGGCAATCTTCCTCAGTCTGTCTTGGAATCTGCACTTCTTCATCAATCAAAACTACGTAAATCCCTTTTAGTTTTTCAACTATCAGCTTCTTCTGGATCTCTCTAATCACAGCTCCAAAGCAGCTCTTTTACTGTCATGCTTTCAACTATCTTCAATATTTTTTGTCACTTCCAGCTCTCCTAATGTGAGAAAGTGTGTAGGTGCTTGTGTATTGAAAGTTTATTTATTTCACTTTATATTTTTATATAGCATTTCTAAAATCTCTCAAGAAATGACAGAAACTGAACAGGTATTCACTGCCAAAATGAAGGGGGGAAATCTAATTGCTTCCCCCTTTAAATCTGTTCTTAATATGTTTCAAAGTAGGTTTTAGTCAGTTTTCCAGAAAACACATATGAACAGCAGTGCTTTCAACCTAATATTCTGTTCTTGAACTAACCAGCCAGAAACAGATGGGAATCCTTGTTGAAAGACAAGTCTGTATGCTTTCCTACACATTTTAAAGAGAAACCAATATTGAGATATATTTTTTCTTTTCAGGGAATTAATATGTATCAATATATCTTTTAACAATAATAGCCTTATCTTACCACCTCCTGTTTAGTACCACATAAATATAAAAACCATTCACCCAGATGGAGAGGATAGTGTTGTTAAATTATTTATGTGCACTTGTTGTAATCAGGTTAAATCTTATTAGATGTTTAGAGATCAAGCAGCAGAAGAGCCTAATATTTATACGCTGACATATGAGTGAAGCATACCTGTAAAGGTGAGCAAGGGAGATTAGGACAAATGAATTACAATATATAAGATGTTTCTTCAGAATCTGTTCAGTGTTGTTCTTGGCTTTTTCTCCCAGGTCCCAAGTGCAGCTAGACATAGCTTCTGTATCCTCCATCCAAGTTGTGGGAGTTGTGGAGCCGCTCATACAAAATGCTGAGATCCTCTTTCCAGGAGGTAACTAGAATTCTTTTTTCTCAGAGCAAATTGGACTCTTCCACAAAGCTTGTGAGCAGACACATGCAGTAGGTACCCAGTTGAAAAGGACAAGCGTAGAGAGACTGGAAAATGGAATTAATAAACGATTCTGTGGATTCATTAGTCACTATGAAAAAGAAATCTCTGTGTGGCTTATGGGGTAACTATGCATTGCAATAATATCATTCATGTGCTATATTTCTTTGTTGTGCAAGTTTCAATAGCAAGATTTTTATAATCCTGTGTGTGTGTGTGTGTGTGTGTAGGGGTTCTTAATTTGTGCTTCTTTGGAGCAAAGAAAATATAGAATTTATATTAATGGTTTTTAGTATTTAAAAGGAAGGTACTGTATAAAGGTGGCTAGAGAAATGGTTTTAAAATACTTAATACTTTTAAAGTTGTAGAGATAAAAATGGAGTATATGTGAACCATTCTTGGGGAGAATTCAAATAAGTGGAAGATGTAGAAGCTGCATGTGGATGATTTAATCAAGTATGATTTATATGCAGTTACCAACACTTCTGAAAGGAATGTCCAAGGCACTTCATTAAATGATGCATTGAATGCCATCATGGTATTCCAGCCAAATGTATTGCCTTTCTCTAGGCTAAACCAAGATCCTAGAAGGGAGGTGCTTTCTTAATCAAAAAGTAGATAAATGAACACCTGTCTTTTAACAATTTAAACACCTAGGTTGTGGCATTAGCTTTTAAGGGCCTTAGATAAAAGAATCACAGGCTTCTGACTTTTAGCCAGGCTGTCTCTTCTTGATCTTGCATGAATTGACTGTCCTTTATTACAACACTGATACATCTTAGGAAACAAAGAGGTGGAAGGAATCAAAGACTAACCTCCTTTCTTCTGCTGCTAGAGAGAACTGCAGAATATTATAATAGCTTTCCGACACTCAGACTGTCTCATGCATTTATTTGTCTTTTTTCCTTAAGATATTGACTTCAATGTCTCCAGTCTGTTCACTCCTCCAATGGACATCAAAAATCAAAACATCCCCACAACAGAAGAAGCTACAGCAGTGTTTCTGCCTTCTGAATCTAATTTCCCTATGCCTGAAGAAAGGTATACATAGACAAATATAACCTTCAACTGTGCTCTTTATCTGTCTGCCGGCCCCCAGTGCAGTTGTACTTTTAAAAAGTTTTCACTCAGCCTTTCAACTAGAGTGGTAGGATTCAAAAAAAAAATTACTACCAGTTCTGTGGGCGTGCTTGGTGGACGTGGCTGGGGAAGAATACTGTAATATCTCCAGTCAGAGGTGGTATTTGCCGGTTCTCTGAACTTCTCAAAATTTCCCCTATCGGTTCTCCAGAACTGGTCAGAACCTGCTGATGGTATCCATTTGAAGACATCTTCTGTTGGGTTGTCTGGTCCAAGTCTGATTTCAGAGTAAAGGACTAGGTGTTGATAAAACCTACCAGTCTTCCTCTGTACCATATCAAAACAGTTATGCTGAAATGAGATTGGATCATAATTGGAAAAATCACAAATTGCTTCTAGTTTGGAAGATTAATTTCTGGAAAATGGCTGGTCCAGGATGACTAGAACACTTGGGGTCCAAAGGAGGAAAGGAAGGTTTTACACATTCCAAAAAGAATGCTGAGAATGAAAAGGCCATGAAAGTATTCATCTGAGTTAGCATCTGGATAGCAGCATAAATATACATATAGAGCTTGTGGTCACAGTTACTCTAATATGGATTGAATGCATTGGGTTCCCGCCCCACCCCCCCAGTTATATCTGTTCCTCAAAAAACTGTAGTGATACATTTCAATTACAAAATGTGGATCTTTTGTTCTCCACTTTTTATTCTGATACAATTTTTCTTTTTAGTGATGCAATGTGCCCATTTATCTATCACCACAGGATACTGTTGTGTTTATTAAGCCTATCTTAATGAAACATTTGTAAAAATAATAAAGGAGGAATCAAATAAATAACCACTATACCTACAATAACATGCTATATAAAAGCAAATAAATTGTGTTACAGCTTAACATACTGGTCTAGTTTATATTCTACCATATGAAGACAATGGCTGGGTTTCTAGTAAAGACTACCTAACCAATCATAAGTTACTCTACCTTACTTTAGCCAGTTCTGGTGTGTGCTGCTTGTGCAGCCGTATTGTTGATGCTTAGGAGGGGGGGGGGGTTGAGGTATTCCCCGTTAGGAGAATGAGTGCACTCAGGGAAACGTAGTGAGAGTGATGATGAATAACACACAACCAGTATACAGATACACTGAATAGTAAAATGTAGGTTTTACTTCCAGTAAATGGGTAAACAAGTCCAACAAACAGTCCAAATCATACATGGTTAAAGCAGTTAGTATTCAGAACAATCAGTCCAGGGATAATCCTAAAAACATGTCAAGTATCATAAACAGAGTTCAGTAAACTGAGTTTGCTAACAGTTGCAAGACTCACAACAATCCAAGCAGAACAACTATCAGGCAAAATGGCAAAACAGGAAATGCAAGAAAAAAACAAAGCAGGTTTCTGGCTCCATCTTATGGCCATTGGAGGAACCTCAGCCAATCACAATTACAGCATTCTCTTAAAGATGCAATAGTCTTAAATAACTATCCCGGTTTATATATTTCCAATCCAACTGTTAGGTGACTATCATTCATAACAGAGGGGGACTCCAGAGAAGGCTTTCCACAACCATCATTATGAGATAGGATATGATTTAATGCGTTTTAACCTGACCTTGTAGTACCAATAGTCAGTAGAACATAAAAAGCAGGACTAAAAGTCTCTCCCTCAAACTTACATTAAAAAATGATCCCAAAGAAAAGCAGATTAGCGAAAGAGAAAAGGAGAAAACACAGTTTGGGAATCAGTTTTTTTTCCCTTTGGGATGCACAAAGCAAATGTCAGCTGTTCTTCACTAGTCAGTGAATGGAGTAAAAACTTTAATCTTCCTGAATTACAGGTCAGTCACTATTTTAGTGGTTTGTGGTTGATATCAAAGGATTAAAAATGGAAAGATCTCTGGAATTTCTCTGTATACTAATTGCTTTTGGAAGCCTATAAATGAGAGTTTATCTGACTTTTCCACATTGGCAGGAACAATGCTGAAGTTATTCCAGAAACAGTGCCCTCAAAAGTGACCCAGTCATCTACTGAAACAACAATCTGTCCACCTACCTCTGCTTCTGCTGATGAGACCTCACGAAAAAGTAAGTTTCATAGTACTACCATAGAAATATTTTTACCTCTCTTATTGACACCAGCTGCCAATGTCCCCACATCACTCAAGAACTCTTCAAAGGGGATCGTAGCAAGATACTTGCATTAAGTACAAGACAGTGGTACTATTTTGTATTCCGAAAACATAGCTTGTAGCTTGGAAGATTCAAAAGGTTGTGCAATTGTGTTCCTCTGAATTTTACAGAGACTGGATGATAACAACTTACATTGATACTTTTCCTACTTACATTTTTTTAACAAAAGAAAAATCAGCTAAATAAGGAGTAAAGGAATAGTGGTATTTTGATATGACAGAATTGGAAGCTATCAGGAAATATGCAATGTCATACTACCTGTTGCCTGTTTTCTTCTGTTTACCTCCATACCATTCTGCTACTCATAGCTGCCTTTTTACTGTCCTGTTCAGAAAATCCATGACATAGCCAAAGTTGACAAACTAGTGCATAACTCTGTATGTACTTTGAAATGACAAGACTAGATAAAATAGAGAGGGGCATATGTAGAAAATTCATACTGCAGTTTGATAATGTTGAGTATAATCTAAAATATAGATTTCAGTTTTCAGTTTACTCTGTAATTCTGGTATTGTTAGGAACCATCTTAGGCAGTTAACCACATATAAATAACACATATAAAAACCCAGTACTTTTAGAAATAATTTTATTTCAGTTTTGAAAAACAGATACAAAGAAAATACATAGAAATAAAATAAGTAAAAGAGACTTTTATATCAAATGTGACAGTGTTTTTTTCTGGATTCATGTAGAGCTGAGACACAGGAGTTAGAATAAAAAAATGCCTAAAATATTGCATTTTATTTCTCTTTCTTTCATTCTCCTTTACAGCAAAGCGGGTGGCTCCACCCAGACCTACCATACCTCCACCCCATCCTCAAACCACGCCACCTGCTCACCGTCACATGCCTCCTCCTCCTCCTCCTCCTTCAGAGTCTTCCTCCATCCCTAAAGCCTTGCCTCGAAGAACAGTGGGGGGACCAGCACGGGTGCCAGTGGTGCCACCACCTCTTCCCCCACAGCCCGCCAGACGGCAGAGTCACAAAGCTCCGCCATCACCCAGGCGTCCTTCAGAAGCTACGAACAATAAGGCAGCTGCAGCTGAAGAGGATTCTGCTCATGTCTGCAGTAGAGAAACGCCCAAAGATTCTGTCCATACCCAGAAAGAAGCCAATGAAGGAAAGAACAGCTCTCCATCTGCTGCTGCTCAGAAAGTATAAACTCTGGAGAATATCTGAGAGGAAGAGTTTTACTGGCTTTGCTTTTGCCTATCCAACTTGTTGCAATTCTTTTCTGCCTGGTATTTTGTTAGATGTTCCCCAAATGCATCAAGGTGCAAGGGCCATCTCCCTTGGGACCCTGATATATGGTCATCTATTTAAATCAAACAACTCCCCTCCACAAAATACATAGAAAATCCCCTCTTCCTGTTTACAAACATTAAAACATCATTTAATATAGGTTGTCCTTCATGCAATATTTCAATCCAAGCCCTGTACAGAAGCAATCTGATACAGCATACTTCACGTTCCTACTATTCTTTTGTCAATCTATAAAACACAACGTAGCTTTTCATTAACGGTGTTCTACTTTTTTTATTATTTTTGACAAGACATTTGTGGAAGCTTCTGAATAAATGTTAAAAGAAGATAACTACTGGTTATCTTTTCTTTATTGCAGTTATACCATACATCTTGTATTAACCCTATCTATGAGAATTATACTTACCCTTTTAGTGGTTAGTTATTTCGCTGGTGTAACATTTTATCTATAACTCAACTTTAACAATATATTTAGTTCATCTAAGATGATCCAAATTGTTCATATAGGCAAAAGGCAAATCAAAGAAACTGTGTATCAGTTTTGCTTGTACCAAACACAAATACAGCTCTCATTTTATTGAGATAAAAGCTGTTTTGTAACATTATAAAGTCTAATAAATACATTGTCAGTGAATACTCTTTTTATCAATTTTCACTTTTAGGTACTGTTTCAGGAAAAACAAATGAGAGGAATAGGCAAATAAAATTGCAATTGAAAGACACTTCTCTGCATAAAATCAAAATTGTAGGCAATATATATAACTTTTCATAAATAAACAAATACACTGTAATATACAAGAAAGAGCATAATAAAAATTCTGGGTCCTACATGAACACATAGACACACACACACAAAAATTGAACAAATGTAGCAAGGCAGGGGTGTCAAACTCACATCATCACGTGACATATCACGAATTCTTTCCCCTTCGCTAAACCAGGCGTGGGTGTGACCAGCGCATGATGCATCCAGCCAATGGGCCGTAAGTTTGACAGCCCTGCAGCAAGGCATTCATGCTGACACAATTCAAAAGTGGCCCTTCAGAAGCAGGTGAAGAGTTCAAATTCCTAGCCTTTCCTGGAGAGCAAGATTTTTTTCTGCCTGTTTTAAATGGCTAGAATGTGCTTTAAAAATGTGCTTTATTTCCAAACCTTGCACCTGTGCCAGGCACAAAAGACTAGGTCCACACATGAAGGTCCAATTCAACAGATTTATTTCTATGCACAGAAATCTTCTCAACTAATGGTGAGCACCTGCTTGGAGTTAAACAAGGGTCCATGGAATTCAAGGAAAGTTGGATTTAGTCCATTTGTGACTAAGTTGAGAGTCTAGGTTGATTCTTCTTTTAACTCCACCCCAGGTTCTGCCACTCCTTTTCCTATAAACTGTCGCCTTGTTTTTATTCTTTTCACAGAGGAGAAAGTAGGAAAACAAGAAGTGATAGGAGTACCACAGGCAATTCTCTTAATTTCTCTAGCAACTATCTGGTAGCAATTATCCTCAAGCAGCTTCTTGAAGAGTTTATCAACAGGGTTTTTTCTAAAGATAGCAACAGTAGTTTACAGGGGGAAAATAAAATCAGTATTTTGGATGACTTGAACAGGTGTACTATTTTAATATAGAGCTGTGGTGGCGCAGCTAAAGTTAAAATGTAGTGTTGCAGGATAATTTTGTTAGACTGCCAGCAGTTCAATCCTGACCGGCTCAAGGTTGACTCATCCTTCCATCCTTCCGAGGTGGGTAAAATGAGGACCCAGGTTTACTGTAAAGCACTGTAAAGCAGTATATAAGTCTAAGGGCTATTGCTATTTTGTTCCGTATGGGAATATATATATATATTTGTTTTCTTAAGTTTTCGCGGGTATTTATATGTATGGTATTCATCTTTGTTCGGGTATTTTCCCACGTCATTATAGTTGTGCTTTTAAAGTTGTAGCAACGTTTCAGCAGAATCTCATCTGCCATCCTCAGGGTTGTGTACTGGGTTCTTTTTAATCTTGTGTGTCAGGCTTAGCAGCCATTTAGCTAAGCCTGACACACAAGATTAAAAAGAACCCAATACACAAGCCTGAGGATGGCAAATGAGATTCTGCCTAAACGTCGCTATAATAAAAGCACAAATATTAAGACGTGGGAAAATACCCGAAGAAACCTAAATACCATACACATACATATATACTGTATGTGTATGTGTGTGTGTGTGTGTGTGTGTGTGTGTATGTGTGTGTGTGTGTGTGTATGTAATATATATATATAATTACATACATACACACACACATATATATGAGATGAGCACTATTTAAATCAGATGGTGCTGATGCTGATGAAGAAGATAGATGATGGAAGAAATGGAGATGGAGAGAGATATAGAAATAGAAATGATAGGGATAGAGGCAGAGATGATATAGATAGTCAAGTAGATAAATCTAGAACAGGGGTCTCCAAATTTAGCAACTTTAAGACTTTATTCTGGGAATTGAAGTCCACAAGTCTTAAAGTTGCCAAGTTTGGAGACCTCTAGGATATAATCCTAGGATATAATCCCTCTGTTACCCCGCTCTTTTCCCACGGTCCGTCACCTGAGTTTTTTTTTTTCAAACGTTCCTTTGTAAGATGAGCCCGTCGAGCTTTGATCCTCCGATCCAAACAGGTTCGCAACACGTGCCACTTTATTTTGACCCGCCTCTTCCTTTTCTTCCACCAATAGGCTAAAGCTACAGGGGCGGAGGGAACACTGATTTGCCCTTCCCGCTGCTCACTTAGAAAGGAAGACGAGCGCCCCCTTGCGAGTCTTGCTCAGAAAATGCATTTTCTTTCTTTCTCTCCCCCCTCCCCCCGCCCCCCTTTTGTGATCCGCTTCTCACGCAGCACGGCCCCCCTTCCATCACTTCGGGCGACCCCTCCTGCCTTCCCCTTTTAACTGCCTTCATCGCATCAGGTCCCGCCATTGGACGACGACACCCCCGCCCACCCCAGCTTTCCCTCCGTTTCAGTTCTAACCGGGTCGAGCCCCCGGCTCTTCAGGCATCTGATTGGTACCGTTTCCTAAATCCATCAAGGGAACGGCGCGCTTCTGATTGGTTGCGGTCACCGCGAGGAGGACCGGGGGGGGGGTGGAGGGGCGGCGAGAGCGGTTCCAGCATGGCGGGCTGCAGGCGGCTGAGCGGCGCTTGTCTGCGCGAGGTGCTGGGCGAGGCGCAGGGGCTGCTCTTCGACTGCGACGGGGTCCTGTGGACCGGAGAGCGGGCGGTTCCCGGGGCGCCGGAGCTGCTGGAGCGCCTGAGCCAGAACGGGAAGAGCACCCTGTTCGTGTCCAACAACAGCCGCCGCTCCGTGGCCGAGCTGGAGCGCCGCTTCTCCCGCCTGGGCTTCCGCGGCGTCCGCGGCGAGCAGGTGTTCAGCTCCGCTCTCTGCTCCGCTCTCTACCTCCGCCAGCGGCTTCTGGGCGGGGAAGCCGGAGCTGGCGACTCGACCCCGGGCCGGGTCTTCGTGCTGGGCGGGGAAGGGCTGCGCGGGGAGCTGCGCGACGCGGGGCTCCGCCTGACCGGAGAAGAAGGGGACGGCGACGAAGAGCCTCCGGGCCAGGAGGCCCTCCCGGTGCGCGCCGTCGTCGTCGGCTACGACGACCAGTTCACCTTCGCTAAGCTCTCGGAGGCCTGCGCCTATTTGCGCGACCCGCGGTGCCTGCTGGTGGCCACCGACCCAGACCCCTGGCACCCGCTTAGCAGTGGGCAGCGCACCCCGGGTGAGTGAGGGCGGCGGGCCGGAGGGGGCCAGGCTCTGGAGCCCCCTTGCCAGCCCCGGGTGGGCGTCGAGGCCCAGTTGCGTCACCCTGCCCTGGGCCTGGTAGCTCGGTACACATCCTGCCTTTCCACAAAACCTAAGAGAAAGGGGTAGAGAGAAAAAGAGGACAACCATCCAAAGCCTTCATATGATCTGGGTAGGCTTAAGGCTGAGGAATGGATTTTCACTTGTTATACACTCTACTCTGGTCTTCAATATCTTGCTTTCTGTACAGTTTAATAAATGTCCCATAATGAGATTTAAACTGACTAATATTTCATTCAGATAACAGCATACAGTATAGAAGTACACACCATAATTTATTTGAAGAATCCTGACCTGCTGAGCAAAGCTTTGACCAGATAAAGGTAGTGTGAAATCAAGGAATGTTCTCAAAGTCAAGTGTGCCTTTTCCTAAAATGCTGAAGAATTTATGTCACTTTTTTATATTTTATTAGCAATCATTGTTGGAAGAACCCTTGGTGTATTAACACTGCCAGTGATCAAATAACCTTGTGGAAGTTCTTGTGTGTTGCTAAGATATGAGCCTGGCACAGTTTCTATATTCAGGGTTGTTTTGATAGCCCCTTTTGCATGGTTGTTAACTAGCAATTCCAATAAGATGACTTTTAGTAAGGTGATTTGCAAGTAGAAAGTAAATGTCTATTAGTCAGCTGCTGCACAGCTCTTCAAATAAGATGAGTCAATATTTGTTTCCCTGCCTGGACCATTGCAAGCAACTCCTTTTAGAGCTTTATGAATTTTAAGTTGTTTTTTTTTGTGGAACTTAGAAATATCCCTGCACTGAATGAGACATTCTCCATGATTGGTAAGAGAAGTGGGCGGGGGGGGGACCTTAATCTCTATTGATATAAATCTATGAATCTTCAAACATCCTAGTCTTGCCCTCATAAAAAGGTTATTTGTTCCCCACTTTTTTTTTTGAAAACTTTACTCCAAAGTTCACTGATTGATCTTAGGTATACGTTACTATTAGCAATGCTACTTGTATACTGTATAGCTATATATATGATAATATATACTTATATTATACAGAGTAATCAATTGTATCCATATCTAATTCTAGTCTTGAAATGTTACATACTCAAGCATATCTGCTTCTGAACAACTGGGAAGTTGATTTTTTAAGTTGGGATAACTGAGCTGATAGATTTTCTTGGATTATAATGTTATTTACAGTAAAATCTTTAGAACCATGTGAATCTGTTTCATATAAATAGTAAAATTGGATGCAAACCTTCCATTTAAGTGAAAGTTAAGTTTACTTTGTCTCGCTAATTTGAACCCAAAATGACCCATTTCACTCATCCTTTATTGGGTGAATTAATTTGGATTACCTAAATATGTCAGGCAGTGCCTGGATTGCTGTTGCTAACGGGGGTCAATCTTTTGATTGGTGGTTGTTTTGTCTCTTCTCTTTCAGGGACAGGGAGTCTCACTGCTGCAGTTGAAACAGCCTCTGGTCGCAAAGCAACAGTAATTGGAAAACCAAACACATACATGTTTGAATGCATTGTAGAGCGCTTTGGTGTAGATCCATCCCGCATGCTTATGGTGGGTGATCGGCTGGAAACGGATATACTGTTTGGCAAGAACTGTGGCCTTGATACTGTCTTGACCCTGACAGGTGTCTCTAATTTAGAGGAGGCACAGGCTTACATGGCCAGTGACAGCCCTTCAGCCAAGGACCTGGTGCCTCACTACTATGTGGACAGCATTGCAGACTTAATACCAGGCCTGGATGAATGAGGGGAGAAGTGGGTGGGAAACAGTCCTGTTTCCATTCCAGACTGCCAACCTTTCCTCCTCCTGTCTCCCCTCTTGAATCCGGGCTCATCACATTCCAGTGTTTCTTCAAGAATGAAGAGAGTGGGACTAATTCCCCTCTCATTCTTTAAGATTACTCGGTTTTATTTTAGACACAGTAGGGGAGCAGGAAATCTAATGTGAAAAAAAGGTGGTTTACAGGCCAAACTAGTATTTATTACTGTTTTTCATCACAGTAACTATTTAAATTATTTTAATTTTATTGTAGCCAATAGTGGTCGTCTTACTGTTGGCCTTTGCTTTACTTTGAAGCATAATGATGTACTTGATGTGCTTTTGTAATGTTCGTCTCCAGGCTTAAATATAACCACTACCATTCCACGCCTGTTTTGAAGTTCTTCTCCAAGAACCTATGCTGTGAAAAGGAAACATCAGGTACATATTCAGACAATATGACACTGAGCCTCCACAAAATGGTCCTTTGGGTTTATTCCTGTGGATGTTTATGTAGTTGAAATTCATTCAAACAATTTAGCTGATCCAGGAGTTGTAAGAACTAAGACCATTTTTTAAAATTGAAGCTAAATACAGGAGCCATCCTAACAGAATCAAATAAATTCCTCCATAGGATTTGTTCCAAAGTGCTTTGTTTTGTGCAGGAAAGAAAATGACAGCTGTCAAAAAGGAACTCAATATCCAGAGTATATATTAATGAATTAAAATGTTAATATCCTTTTTCTGTCTTGAGTCTTATCAGCTTAAATGTTTCTTTATCCAATTTCATTTTGGTATATGGAATTGCTACTGCTGCATCAAACTAAGTTGCATACAATAATTTTGGTGCCACAGTGTTCAAAACTGACTCACTTTATCTTGGTAATTCTGTAGTCACAGCCTCCAGATATTCTTGCCTAAGCAAAATCAAGAACTTGATTATTTTATTCCCTTTCCCCCCCCCCCTAACTGGGCAAACTGATAAATTTCATCAGTAAACATTTTAGCTCCTGTCTGTGCCTGATACACCTCTGTCCTAGAGGAGGGATGAATATGTGTTCTCCTCCTGCCCTGCCATGGTGAGCTTGACCTGCGGGATAATGTTGGCATTGCCAGTGGTGTCTGTACCACTGTATCCCCAAATCAGTCCTTGCTGTTCTTTTAATGGTTTATTATGTATTTATTAATGTGTTTGTATAAATTATGCTGATCAATTGTGCCAAAGTGGTATGTTGCCTCTGGGCCTACTCACTAACTGTACCTCCATGATGTTGTGCTTTTTCTGACACTTGCTGTCATTCTGCATATAATAAATTGCAGACACCAGATGGGATTTGATTGTATTTATTTAACTGAGATTGCTCAGGGATCATTTCTAAGTCCATAATTTCTTTAATTAGGAATGTGCAGAAATCACTGATAGGGGAACAGAATGTTCCAGAGAACTCCAGAATGCTCAATTTCTCTTACAGTTGTGTTGAACCTTCTTCTGGACCATGTCTTTCTGAGATGATCTGTCAGTTTTCAGAAGTAAATCTTCCAAGCCAGAAGAGGTTCGGTGTATTTTAAGAATGATCTTTTATTATAGTCATTGACAAACAAACATAAAATAATACATTCTATAATTTTAATACTTTTGGTTCTATTCCTGGTCAAACCTTCTCATGCTTTGTAAAAAGCTTTTCCTCGGGAAGAAATTTGGCATAATTCACTAACAGAACACTTCTAACATTCTTAGGAATGTTCTTTTTATGGATTGACAGATATTACTGGAATATATTGTTTTCATTGTAGGCACACAAATCCTGTTGGATAGAGTACAGGGCAAGGGAAATGACACTGGATTAATAGTCCTCACACAAGCCCAGGATGATTTTTGTTACATTATTAATAGCCTTTACTGTCTTTTTTTTAAAGAAAAAATCAGCCTGCTGACATCATTGAGACTAAATATAGGTCAACAATGCTACAATATTTATTATGTTCCATTCATAAAGTTTAATGTGCAGTCAAATAATGTGAATAAAACAGAACTGTAATGATATACTGAGAAGCCATTAAATGTCCTTGCACTTAAAAAGAAAGAAAAAAACATGATGCTACAAACCTTTGGACCAAGTTACCTGTTTATTCATTTTGTGTAAAAAATGGTTTGACTAATCAATCTGCTGCAGATAGATCCTGCAAAACTTGTTAGAATTTTCAAAGCTGGGTCAAAGAAAGAGATAAAATTTTATAGCCATGAGAGCAGGCCAGAATTAAGGACTGCAAATGCATACAAAGATTAAGAGTAAAAGAAAACTTTCCCACAAGCATAACTTAAACTCAGTTAAGTACTCTTGGGACTGGAGGCACATTAATAATCTGGTGAGCAGACATGGTGGTCATGGCAAGCTTCCAAACATCCATTTATCAGGGTCAAAAGCAATAAGTTTGCTCCGCCGTTGGATGTCCTCTATCCAACCCTTTCGCTTACTGTTATCTTTTATGATCATTCACTTTCAAATAAAGGACTCACCCTTTTTCATTCTTTCAAAGTGTCTTCTGGACCTATCTGAATTCCAGAAGTATCCTTGGAAACAAAGGCAATACAAGTTGCTGGCCCTTTGAAGTATGTTCATTTCCAATTTTATTTTTTTAAGTCAAAAAATATTTTCAAAGTTCATAGAGCAGAAATTGGCCAGAAGGCCTTCCTCTGATTTAGGCATATTTTTTAATGGGGATGCTCTTGGTACAATAGTTTCTTGTGAGTTGTACTGTTAGCATGCTATAAAGCAGGAGCCCCCAACCACCAGTCTGTGAACTGGCATCAGTCCGTGGCATGCCAGAAACTGGGCCACACAAAGAAGCGAAGCCCCATCTGCTGGATGCAGGCAGCACATGAAACCACACACCCCTCCAGTCCACAGAAAAAGCCTCTCTAAGGAACCAGTCCCTGGCGCCCAAAAAGTTGGGGCTGCTGGTATTTTGCAGCTTCTCTTTCCAAATTGCTGTGAATTTTACAGCGTGGGATGTCCTCCACTGGGGTGAATAGCCCAACCAGGAGGCAATTAGCAAGTTTCTAATGCTTTGATTAATTTGATCATAAGTCACTTAATGATTCATGCTATAATTACAGGATGTAAATTATGCAAAGAAAACCAAGAAAAATACATAGAGAATGTATATCTTGCCTCCTGATTCATAGCTATATTAATACAGCAAAAAGACCATATCCAATCCAGGGAACATAAAGATCAATTTGAAGAGTAAAGAATCAGGAGAGACCAAGAATGAGACCAGGCTCATAATGAAAAATAGTTTTCAATATAGGGAAGGCATCCTGGGAATGCTCTTAAATAGCAGGAATTCAGGACCTTCCTAATCAGAACAGATGCTCTCTGCTCTCAAGGAGACATGCCACTCCTTGGCCTTTTGTTGACCTTGTGTTTTAAGATTGCGTACTCTCCTGGATTCTGGATTTGACCCTTTGTTCTGTGAGTCAGCGATCACCTACACTGAGTCTGAATTGTTTATTTGCTTCCCATCTACAGGTTCCCCTCTTCAGCTTTAGAACTAGGCAAGTCCATAACAATGACTAAATGGGAATGCTCCATTATCCTTCTTGAGTAGGATCTCACTTGGAATTTTATTACACAGAATATTGGTCTTATATCTCAAGATTAAAAATTGAAGCAGCATTCTAAGATTAAAGGCTTAAATCTATTATTTCAAGAGTGAAAAAGAAAACACCCAATTACAGATTTGGAAAAGGTCATCAAGCCAGCCTGGTGATTAATTCCAAGAATTCAAGCAAGCACTGAAGAGCCAGTCAAGGAGAGTTAATCATTTCTGTTAATTCTTGAGTTTACTGCCTTACTGAAGTTTTCTTAAAACTGGAATCTTTCTTGTTTGCAACTTATTATTCTGTATAATGAGTGAATAGGCATTGGCCTTTGGGGTGTCATCCATTCATATTCTTGAAAAGTGCTTTATTTCTACCTCCTTTTGTAAGATAATGCAATTCTCCAACAGAATGGATCATTCTGAAATAGGCTCAAACCTGATTACAATAATGTAATCCCTGATCTCCTAGCCATAGTTGCCACCTGCTCTTTGAGCAGTACTTGTGAATCTAAGGAGGACCTTTGGATTGAACAGTGGGTCTGTCTGAGCTAGTGCAACCCCATCCAGATGGTTCTTGTGCGGGAGAAACTTTTTTTTAAAAAAAAAGTTTTATTATTGTTTTTCGACAAACATACACAAACACAACATAAAAACATCAAGCCATCTTCCACTTATGTACATACAATGTGTGGGTTGATTTACAGATTGTTTTGTGCATCCACTTCATAGTCATCACAATTACTGGTATATGTTCTCATATTATCTATCAATTATTCCTAAATACACTGATATCATTGTTAGTCATTTGACTATACTATTATTCGTTCATGTTATGCAAGATCATCCATATTTTAATTGATTTATTTTATGACAATTCTATCCCATAATTATGATTGTGATAAAGATAATACATCTTTATACACTGCTCAAAAAAATAAAGGGAACACTTAAACAACACAATGTAACTCCAAGTCAATCACACTTCTGTGAAATCAAACTGTCCACTTAGGTAGCAACACTGATTGACAATCAATTTCACATGCTGTTGTGCAAATGGAATAGACAACAGGTGGAAAGCATAGGCAGTTAGCAAGACATCCCCAATAAAGGAGTGGTTCTGCAGGTGGTGACCACAGACCACTTCTCAGTTCCTATGCTTTGTGGCTGATGGTTTGGTCCCTTTTGAATGCTGGTGGTGCTTTCACTCTAGTGGTAGCATAAGACGGAGTCTACAACCCACACAAGTGGCTCAGGTAGTGCAGCTCATCCGGGATGGCACATCAATGCAAGCTGTGGCAAGAAGGTTTGCTGTGTCTGTCAGCGTAGTGTCCAGAGCATGGAGGCACTACCAGGAGACAGGCCAGTACATGAGGAGACGTGGAGGAGGCCATAGGAGGGCAACAACCCAGTATCAGGACCGCTACCTCCGCCTTTGTGCAAGGAGGGACAGGAGGAGCACTGCCAGAGTCCTGCAAAATGATCTCCAGCGGGCCACAAATGTGCATGTGGCTGCTCAAACGGTCAGGAACAGACTCCATGAGGGTGGTATGAGGGCCCAACATCCACAGGTGGGGGTTGTGCTTACAGCCCAACACCGTGCAGGACGTTTGGCATTTGCCAGAGAACACCAAGATTGGCAAATTCACCACTGGCACCCTGTGCTCTTCACGGATGAAAGCAGGTTCACACTGAGCACATGATAGATGTAACAGGGTCTGGAGATGCCATGGAGAACGTTCTGCTGCCTGCAATATCCTCCAGCATGGTCGGTTTGGCAGTGGGTCAGTAATGGTGTGGGGTGGCATTTTTTTAGGGGACCGCACAGCCCTCCATTGCTCGCCAGAGGTAGCCTGACTGCCATTAGGTACCGAGATGAGATCCTCAGACCCCTTGTGAGACCATATGCTGGTGCGGTTGGCCCTGGGTTCCTCCTAATGCAAGACAATGCTAGACCTCATGTGGCTGGAGTGTGTCAGCAGTTCCTGCAAGATGAAGGCATTGATGCTATGGACTGGCCCGCCCGTTCCCCAGACCTGAATCCAATTGAGCACATCTGGGACATCATGTCTTGCTCCATCCACCAACGCCATGTTGCACCACAGACTCTCCAGGAGTTGGGGGATGCTTTAGTCCAGGTGTGCAAGGAGATCCCTCAGTAGACCATCCACCACCTCATCAGGAGCATGCCCAGGCGTTGTAGGGCAGTCATACAGGCATGTGGAGGCCACACACACTACTGAGCCTCATTTTGACTTGTTTTAAGGACATTACATCAAAGTTGGATCAGCCTGTAGTGTTTTTTTCCACTTTAATTTTGAGTGTAACTCCAAATCCAGACCTCCATGGGTTGATAAATTTGATTTCCATTGATAATTTTTGTGTGATTTTGTTGTCAGCACATTCAACTATGTAATGAACAAAGTATTTAATGAGAATATTTCATTCATTCAGATCTAGGATGTCTTATTTTTGCATTCCCTTTATTTTTTTGAGCAGTGTATATTCTTTATATTCTAAAGTTCTAGATATTTCATTACCATATTTTATTGTCTAACCATTGATAAAATAAATCCCAAATCTTATAAAATTGTTTATCTTCTTGTTCTCTAATTTCAACTGTCAGTCTACTCATTTCAGCACATTCCATTATTTTCTTAATAACTTCCTCCTACGTTGGTATTTTCTCATTTTTCCAGTTTTTAGCAAATACAATCCTAGCC